TGATCGGTAACATCCTAAAGTACTACAAAAATCTCGGTAAAAAGATCATCTTAATAGAGCTAATTCTACCAAACCAGGATAGGGGAAGATCCTCCCAGTCTTGTAGGTCAGTTTTGAGTCGTTTGAAAAGCGGGGGATAATTGGTCCTATATAACGACGAGATTGGTCCTATATAACGAGTTTGTGAGGTGAATCCCCAAATAAGGGAGAGAACGAGAGGCCCACTGAAAGTCGAAGTTGTCCCGCAGATATTGGACCTCCAAATCTGGTAAGGAGATATTTAAAGCAGTTGTTTTAGAGGAATTAAGTGTGAGACCAGAGGTCACAGAGAAACGGTGAAACAAGTGGAGGAGACCAGGTAGAGACGTTCGAGAGTTAGATATATACTGTACATAAGGACATCATCAGCAAATAAGGCACATTTATGATCTCGTTGACCAGAGAGGATGCCAAAAATAGTGGGATCAGAGCAGATAGCAATCGCGAGTGGTTCCATTGTGTCTTGGAAATTCGCTTTAACGAATTTCTCCTTACTGTGAGTACTCACAGTTGGATGCGCAGAAATCCCCCATAAAGCTGTGCGAATCTCGCTTACCACGACTGCAGCTAAACTACACGATTCCTGCCCATCCAACTACTTTTAGCTTCTGTTGAGATGTGGGGGTGGAGCTCCGTTACCCTAGAATGATCAAACGACACTCTCAGGATGGTGTTGCAATTCACATAAGGGCTGGTTTCAGACTCAGCTCTCTGTTTTATTAAAAATACACACATGCCCCCCACATGAATAAAGTCAATCCCCTCCCACCGAACAATGCAATGGGGAGTGCCTATACACAGGATGTACATTCCAATTGGAGCATAGCCTTTCCTATTATCTATCACTGGTCCTCCCCTCCCCCATGAGTCTTCTGAGGTCAGCAGACTTCCTCCCCTTCCCCCCCATGAGCCATCTGAGGTCATATTTCCTGTCCTACTAGCTTCTATTGGTATGTAAATTCTTTGTACAAGCATTCCCTAAAAATATCAGTCTGTACCTGGATGGGCCCGATACGATCTTTATTAAAACACATCCATCCAAGATACAGTTTCAAGTTGGTAATGGGTTGTAAGATATGCATAAGCCTACACGTGGAGTTCACACCGCTTGGCGCCTTGCGTTATGAAGCCCATGTGGTACTATGCTGCTGATATGTGGATACAGGCCCACGGTCTACTGCCAGCGACATTCGCATCGAATGCCGTGGTGGTATACACGCCGGTCTATAAGCGCAGATCTGCCATCTCATCCATTACCAAGCTGAGTACTGTAATACATACATTGTACATGCGCATTGCCCAATTGCAGCCTTCAGAGCTTTAATTAAGCCACACGAGAGACATATGAATAACACGAATATATGACACATTTAAAGTTCGACCAACAATACAAAATTTCCATGACAATTGCCAAAGCAAATAATAAGGGAGAACGCAGGAATCCCTGTCTAGTGCCTTGCCCTATAGACAGGGAGGCTGATTTATATCCGCGAATGGAAACTTGAGCTGAAGGGTTAGAATATAGAGCCTGTATCAATGTCATGAAACAAGGGCCAAACCCTACTCTACCCAACATCTGAAATAAATAGTCCCATGATAAGCTGTCAAATGCTTTATGAATATCTAGTGATAACAATAAGACTTCCCTCTGTGAGGATTTATCCCAATTGGATTGTACATCTGACAGTAAAGCCAAAGTCCGACAAATTTGGTCCGATGTTTGTCGACCGCTGATGAATCCTGATTGATCATCATGAATATAAAGAGCCAAAAATTTGTGGAGGCGTAAAGCCAGGATTTTACTAAGAATATTTAGATCACAGTTAATTAATGAGGTTGATAATTGGAGACTAAAGTAGCATCCTTATGGGGTTTGGGGATAACACTGATGAATGTCTTGTTTTCGTCAGGAGGCACAAGTCCCCCATCCCGTAAATAATTAAAATAATGGGCCATATGTGGAATCAGAATATCAGGGAAGACCATCTCGTCCTGGGGATTTATGAGGGGCAATAAGCACCTTACTTTAATCATCCTATCTGTGTTCCAGCTTTAGGGTACTGTGTTTGAGTCCTGTTGATGCTCTATGTGCATCTAGTTTCTATGATTTCCCAGTCTAGATTTCCTTAACCACTTGCCTACAGGGCACTTATACCCCCTTCCTGCCCGGGCCAGTTTTCAGCTTTCAGCGCTGTCGCACTTTGACAATTGCGTGGTCATGCAACACTGTACTCATATGAAATTTTTATCATTTTTTTGAGACCGATAGAGCTCTCTTTTGGTGGTATTTAACCACTTGAGCCCCAGAGGATTTACCCCCCTTAATGACCAGGCCTTTTTTTGCTGTTTGGCGCTGCACTAATTCAAATGATAATTGCCGCGGTCATGCAATGCTGTACCCAAACAAAATTTACGTCCTTTTTTTCACACAAATAGAGCTTTCTTTTGGTGGTATTTGATCACCTGTGCGCTTTTTATTTTTTTGCTCTATAAACAAAAAAAAACACGAAAAGTTTGAAAAAAAACAATATTTTCTACTTTCAGCTATAAAAAATATATCGTAAACTCAAAGTTAGTCATATATTTAAGCCAAAATGTATTCTGCTACATGTTTTTGGTAAAAAAAATCCCAATAAGTGTATATTGATTGCTTTGTGTGAAAGTTATAGCGTCTACAAACTATGGTATAGATACTGTAATTTATGCCTTTCTTTGCTATACAGCGCTGCACTAACTCAAATGATAATTGCGCGGTCATGCAATGCTGCATCCAAACGAAAATTACGTCCTTTTTTTCACACAAATAGAGCTTTCTTTCGGTGGTATTTGATCACCTGTGCGCTTTTTATTTTTTGCGCTATAAAACAAAAAAACCACAAACATTTTGAAAAAAAACAATATTTTCTACTTTCAGCTATAAAAAATATATCGTAAACTCAAAGTTAGTCATAAATTTAAGCCAAAATGTATTCTGCTACATGTTTTTGGTAAAAAAAAATCCCGTGCATTAGCGGGCAAACTGGCGCTATCTAGGAGGGGCGCTAACACTATCGGAAGTCACCAGTGACACTAATACAGTGATCAGTAAAAATCTGTTCACTGTAATCAATGACACTGGTGACAGGGCAGTGAATGGGTTAACTGGGGGGGGGGGGGCGATCAAGGGGTTAAATGGGATTTCTGGTGCACTAGCGGGCAAACTGGCGCTATCTGGGAGGGGCGCTAACACTATCGGAAGTCGCCAGCGACACTGATACAGTGATCAGTAAAAATTGGTTCACTGATCAGTGACACTGGTGACAGGGCAGTGCAGGGGTTAACTGGAGGGGGGGGGGGGCGATCAAGGGGTTAAACGGGATTACTGGTGTACTGGCGGGCAATCTGGCGCTATCTGGGAGGGGCGCTAACACTATCGGAAGTCGCCAGCGACACTGATACAGTGATCAGTAAAAATCGGTTCACTGATCAGTGACACTGGTGACAGGGCAGTGAATGGGTTAACTGGGGGGGGGAGATTAAGGGGTTAAATGGGATTACTGGTGTACTAGCGGGCAATCTGGCGCTATCTGGGAGGGGCGCTAACACTATCGGAAGTCGCCAGCGACACTGATGCAGTGATCAGTAAAAATTGGTTCACTGATCAGTGACACTGGTGACAGGGCAGTGAAGGGGTTAACTGGGGGGGCGATCAAGGGGTTAAACGGGATTACTGGTGTACTGGCGGGCAAACTGGCACTATCTGGGAGGGGCGCTAACTCTATCGGAAGTCGCCAGCGACACTGATACAGTGATCAATAAAAATTGGTTCACTGATCAGTGACACTGGTGACAGGGCAGTGAAGGGGTTAACTGGGGGGGGGGGCGATCAAGGGGTTAAACGGGATTACTGGTGTACTGGCGGGCAGTCTGGCGCTATCTGGGAGGGCCGCTAACACTATCGGAAGTCGCCAGCGACACTGATACAGTGATCAGTAAAAATTGGTTCACTGATCAGTGACACTGGTGACAGGGCAGTGGAGGGGTTAACTGGGGGGGGGGCGATCAAGGGGTTAAACGGGATTACTGGTGTACTGGCGGGCAATCTGGCGCTATCTGGGAGGGGGCGCTAACTCTATCAGAAGTCGCCAGCGACACTGATCAGTAAAAATCGCTTCACTGATCAGTGACACTGGTGACAGGGCAGTGAAGGGTTAACTGGAGGGGGGGGGCGATCAGGGGGTTAAATGTGTCCTAGAGTGTTCTAACTGTAGTGTAGTGCTTGTGTACTCACTTTTTGATTGTCTTCTTCTCTGTCTGGAACGGAATGTGTCCAGGCAGAGAAGAATGACATCATATCCTGCCCTGTGTGTATGTCAACACAGGACAGGATAAGACAGGGACCGATCATGTGATTTCAGCCAGAAATCACTGGCTGAAATCTAATGATTGATCCCTCCTGGATCAAATAGTGTCACCCGCGGGTCGGCGGGAGCGCGCGCGCGCGCCCCCTGCCGGCGAAAATGTTGGGAGCGCGGAACCCGTTTTTAAATGTGGTTTTGCGCTGCACTGCCGCCCTGAACACGTATATACACAGTGGCAGGGCGGCAAGCGGTTAATCACCTCTGGGTTTTTTTATTTTTTTGCTAAACAAAAAAAAACAGCTGAAAATTTTGAAAAAAAAATGTTTTTTCTTAGTTTTTGTTATAAAATTTTGTAAATAAGGGATTTTTCTCCTTCACTTATGTGTGCTAATGAGGCTGCAGTGATGGGCTGTGATAGGCTGCACTAATGGGCACTGATAGGTGGCACTGATGAGGAGGCACTAGTAGGTGGCACTGATGGGAATTGACAGGCATCACTGATGGGCACTGAAAGGCAGAACACATCTATGGCACTGATAGGTGGCACTGATGGCACTGACTGATACTGTGGCACTGACTGTCACTGTTAGGCAGCACTGATAGGCAGCACAGACGGGCACTGATAGGCGGCACTGACTGGCACTGATATAGATGGCAACACTGATGGCACTGACTGGCACTGATAGGTGACACTGAAAGGCAGCTTAGATGGGCACTGATATGTGGCATCGATGGGCACTGGTAGGCACTGATATGTGGCATTGATGTGGCACTGATGGGCACTGGCAGGTGGCACTGATGGGCACTGACAGGTGGCATTGCTGGGGCTACACTGATCATCAGTGCCCTGATGATCAGTGTAGATGTCCCCTCCGAGGAATGCAGATTACCGGCTCTCCTCTCCTCTTGAGCTGTCAGCGTGACAGCTCGTGAGGAGAGAAATACCGATAACCGGCATTTCCCTATTGACATGCGATCAGCTGTGATTGGACACAGCTGATCACATGACCGAGCCGACATCTTCGGCTCTTTCCATTGATTGCTGATCCGCTGTGTCCGAGGGACACAGCACACCACCGATTGCAGCGTTGCACGCTTCCAGAGCTGCGCATGCACGGTTAGAGTGGGAGGACATCATATGACGTCCTCCCAGAATGAGAGAACCACCTTGCGCCCATCATTACCTTATATGGCGGGCGGGAGGCGGTTAAATTCCCTAAGGTTTTTTTTTCCCCCACAGTCCCACTTCACACTGTTTTAAGCAAATTGATCCTAGGGTGACCAAAACAAGAACGAAGGTTGGAGTGTTGTTAATTCTACCGAGCCAGGTACTCATGTAAATGGCTTGGTATATTTTAACCATCCCTATACAGTGCTGACCATAATGCTCTTGGTACAGGCTTCAACCCTCCCATTACTGTCTGTGATGTGTTATGTGATTGGCAGCAGACTTAAAGAAGAGCTTCCATTGAAATGTACAGACCTCCAACAGAACTGCAGGTAAACAAGAGATGGCCAAATGCTAGTTGAGCAACAATCTTTTGAGTGTTTTAACACCCCCTTAAGATCTGGTGTTAAATTTACCAACAAGTGCCTTAAGATGGCCAACCTTTTAAATACAAGATAGTTATGTATTATTTCAACAAAGATACATAGTCATATGTATTGTGATGTTCAGAAAAAGTGTGCATGTTTCTCTTTATTCAAATACATTCATATTTAATATTGAGATGTATTAATTTAGAAAAAAAACACAATATATCAGGATAATAACTGAACTTGTATTACAATTTAGGTATATATCTATGTTGATGCCGTCATTAACCATATGTGTGGATCAGCTGGTGGTGCGGGAACACACTCAACTTGTGGAAGCTATTTCAATACTGGAACCAAAGAATTCTCTGCAGTACCTTATTCTAACCTGGATTTCAATGATGGCAAGTGCTCTACTAGTAATGGTGAAATTCAGAACTATGGAGATGTTAACCAGGTACGACATTGTGTTTTCTGTGATGTTGTAAAGGATTAAAGCTATTTTGTTTTTACACCTTTCCCACACCTTGAAAAAAATTTTTGTGTTAGAAAAAAGGAATGGAAGAATGGCTTAGAGATTGTCAAAGATTCCAGCAATTTGTTGATTGCTAACAAGGCAATTCACTTTTTGCAGTGTGTTGAACTGACTACAATATTTTCAGCTGCTTGTTTATCCAATGTAGTTGAGGATGCTCAAGTCGCAACAGTGATTTGCGACAAAATAACTTGTGTGGCTTCAACCCATAGAGAGAAGATATTGGTTGCCCTATATAAATAATATATAATTTTATACATACAGCAATACATATATATATATATATATATATATATATATTACATTTATTTAATGTAACTTCACATGTATGCATGTATGTTACTACTGCAGGTGAGAAACTGCAGACTTGTGGGTCTCTTGGACTTGGCGCTGGAGAAGGATTACGTCCGTGGAAAGATTGCTGCCTTCCTAAATAACCTTATCAGCATTGGTGTAGCTGGATTCAGACTGGATGCTTCCAAACACATGTGGCCTGGAGACATCTCTAATATTATCGGGAGATTGAACAACCTGAACACTCAGTGGTTCCCTAGTGGCACCCGTCCTTTTATCTTCCAGGAGGTATTGTCAATTGTTTAACAAAATAATGATATGTACTTCTGAAAGTAATGTTTGAATTATCATTATATTGTGATTAATTTGCACAGATAAATACATGAGAGAACTGATGTTTGTTTATAAAACAAGATTATCTCAGGATTCAAGGAAAGCAAAGTGCTAAAACTGTTTAAGTGCTGGTTCACACTGATGTTGTGCGGGATTTGCAGTGAATTCTGTGCGTTTCCTGCATTGCATCAGAATCGCACTCCATTTATGTGAACTGCTGCGGGTGTCTATGTCAAGGTAACAACACCGCATAAAGGTTCGCTGTACGCAGCGCGATTGGGTGAACTGTGAATGAACACCCATGTGATCTGATTCCAGTAGGAAAAAAGGGTGCATGCATCTTTCCTGTGGATGTGGTGCAATTTGAGAAATACAAAATGAATGGCTCAAATTGCACTGTGAAGCATCACATGTATTTTAAACAGGAATGCAGTGCGATTCCTGTCCAAATCATATGCGCTTTCCTGCACCACAATAGTGTGAACCGACACTTAAGATATCGCTAACTCAGAGCAAGCAATCTATAGCTACTGCATTTAGTTAACTTTTAAGTAAACAAAGCAACTAACAAGGATGTTATTAATTATCATTTAACAAATATATCTGCCTCATTCACAATTGCCCTATTACAAAAAGACCAGATTATACTTTATAACATATATGTTGATCAAATGTCAGAAGCATTTGTGCAAGCTGAAGGAAATTTTCCTTTACCTTTTTTTTTTTTTCTATTTCAATGGTTTTTATTAAATTTTTTAAACAGTATAAACAGAGGCAATAAAACACGCCCACGCAGGGGCTATCAATTGCACAGATAAACAAAATGCAAAAATAAAAAAAAGGGAAAAACAATGCTCTAATGCCAACAGGGCAAAAGGTACGCCCACGCAGGGGCTATCAATGGCACATAAGTTACAAAACATTAATGTAACTGATTATAACAACTAAATGCAGCTGTCCTCCTTTACCTTTTTTAACAGAATTCCTGTATCATCATCTCCAAATATTGGGCAAAATGAGGTATATTTTCTCGTTTACAGATTTTAGAAAAGCTATATTGCATTTCTGCCACGAGAAAGAGCTAATGACACAGAAATGTAATCTATTAAAACATACAGTGAAGTTTTGTTCATCTTGCACAAATGTCTCTGACATTCATGCAACTAATGTCTGGCAAATAGATCACTTGGTGTGTTCATTGTAAATATAGCTGTTAGGAATACTATGCAAACTCTTTAACTGCTTGGTACTGGTGCCTCCTGGCCCTTTAAGGCGTTTCAGATCCCAGGGAATGGGGTTTCTGACCATGTGAACTCCATGATTGGCTATCACAGTGGTCACATGATAGGAAAGCTCCCAATCGCAAGTACAGAATGGGAGCTTTCCATTAGCTGGCAGTAACAGTACTGGGAGCGTCCACAGCCCACGCTTTTGGCACAGTTCTGTTTAACTTTAGGTACGCATATATGCAGCCTCTAAGTGTTAAGGCCCACCTGCCGAGTGGCCACATATATGCGTACCACCGGCGGGAAAAAGTTAAGCAATTACAGATCATTATTAAATTTCAGTGTTTTCAAGCCTGGGTATTCAATTTTGATTTTCTTATTCTTTTACCAAATTTATAGCCTACTGTTGTCTCAAAGTAATCATATAAATTATTATCATTTATTAACATACAGTATCTCACAGAAGTGAGTACACCCCTCACATTTTTGTAAATATTTTATTATAACTTTTCATGTGACAACACTGAAGAAATTACACTTTGCTACACTGTAAAGTAGTGAGTGTACAGCTTGTATAACAGTGTAAATGTTCTGTCCCCTAAAAATAACTCTCAACACGCAGCCATTAATGTCTAAACCACAAAAGTGAGTACACCTAAGTGAAAATTTCCAAATTGGGCCCAAAGTGTCAATATTTTGTGTGGCCACCATTATTTTCTAGCACTGCCTTAACCCTCTTGGGCATGGAGTTCACCAGAGATTCACAGGTTGCCACTGGAGTTCCCTTCTACTCCTCCATGACAACATCACAGAGCTGGTGGATGTTAGAGACCTTGCTCTCCTCCACCTTCCATTTGAGGATGCCCCACAGATGCTCAATAGGGTTTAGGTCTGGAGACATGCTTGGCCAGTCCATCACCTTTACCCACAGCTTCTTTAGCAAGGCAGTGGTCATCTTGGAAGTGTGTTTGGGGTTGTTATCATGTTAGAATACTGCCTTGTGGCCCAGCCTCCGAAGAGAGGGGTTCATGCTCTGCTTCAGTATGTCACAGTACATGTTGGAATTCATGGTTCCATCAGTGAACTGTAGCTCCCCAGTGCCAGCAGCACTCACGCATCCCCAGACCATGATACTCCCACCACCATGCTTCACTGTAGGCAAGACATGTCTTTGTACTCCTCACCTGGTTGCCATCACACGCACTTGACATCATCTGAACCAAATAAGTTTATCTTGGTCTCATCAGACCACAGCACATGGTTCCAGTAATCCATGTCCTGAGCCTGCTTGTCTTCAGCAAACTGTTTGTAGGCTTTCTTGTGCATCATCTTTAGAAGAGACTTCCTTTTGGTGTCAGAGCCTGGGTTCAAACCTGGGCTTTCTGCAGTGAGAGGCAATGTTTCTTTTTGCTGAGCCACCTGGAATGCTGGACAGCCCCCTTGACAATTATTTGGATGATTTATCTTGAACCTTGAACCCCTTGCTCCTTCCATGAACTTCCTGATAAAAGCCATGTCTCTGCATTTCCTGTTTGCCAGTTTATTTTGCCTTCTCCAGCCAATATCCCACTTGTCTCTCCTGCTGCCGTCTATACCTTCGCTACCGACCTTGGCTTTGTTCCTGGACTACGATTCTGCCTCATCCTCATCTAATACCGTTTGTGACCGACCCTTGGCTTGTTGACTGACTCCGTTTCTGCTTGGTTCCTAACCTGTTCAATCTGCTATTGTATTCCAGCTTGCTCATTCCCTGGTGGGGTGATCCTGAGATCTGCGACCTGGTACTAACATGCAGCCAAATCCATCTCCATCATTAGGAGCTCTGGTGAAAACCGGTTAGTGCATACACCCCACACCTCAGGTGAGCCTGCGTCATTTCCTAGGGTGACCTGCTGCTGTACCTATCCTGCTGGTTTCAGGTAATCCTTACACTGCTATAGCAACTGGTCTCTGAACCTGACCCAGACCGTGACAAAATAATCTGGCCCAAACATGGAGGCCGCTATAGCAAATGTTGTGGCTCTTCTTAGGCAACAAATTGCTGAGCTGCAGGAATTCGGGGTTACCCATCAAGAAAGAGTTGCCAAACTAGAAAGCATAGTGGATAGACAACAGGGA